TTCAGGTGGGCAAGAACGTGCCCGGTGCTTCCCCTGCCAAGGAGAGCGTGGTGGGCACCAAAGGGGTGTCCTCCTGCCCCAACCTGCTGCAGGCTGAAGCTCTGCTGGAGTCTGCTGACATGCTGTACATCATCTACCCCTACGTGCAGTACTGTCTGCACGACATCGTGACCTTCAGCCCGGCCAAGCTCACCAACAGCCATGCCAAAATCCTCTTCCTCCTCTTCCACGTGCTGCAGGCCATGAAGGCTTGTCACCAGGTGGGTCTGGCTTGCGGCGCCTTTTCCCTTCGGGATGTGGCTGTGGATGAGAAGCTGTGCAGCCGGCTCCGCGTGAACCTCAGAGAGTACGAGGGACTGAAGAAGGAGGAAGTGACTCTGGAGGCTGGTCTGGAAGGAAGGAGAGAGCAAACCAGTGCTGGTGTGCAAGGGCAGGAGGCGAGGTGCACCGCCTGCCAGAAGGACCTTCAAGACCTGGTGTTAAAGTGGGTCCATGGGCAGGTCAGCAACTTTGACTACCTTATGTGTCTGAACAGTTTGGCTGGGAGGAGAATGGGAGACCCCAATTATCACCCAGTCCTTCCATGGGTGGTGGACTTCACTACCAAAAATGGCAAGTTCAGGGACCTCAGGAAATCCAAGTTCCGACTGAACAAGGGAGACAAGCAGTTGGACTTCACCTATGAGATGACCAAGCAGGCGTTTGTTGCTGGTGGATCAAGTGGGGAGCAGCTCCACGTCCCCCATCACATCTCCGACGTCCTTTCAGATATCACCTACTACGTGTACACGGCTCGGAGGACACCCAGGGCAGTGCTGTGCTGCCACGTGAGGTCCCAGTGGGAGCCCAACGAGTACCCGGCCAGCATGGAGCGCATGCAGAGCTGGACCCCGGATGAGTGCATCCCAGAGTTCTATACAGATCCCTCCATCTTCCGTTTTCCCGACCTGGATGTGCCATCTTGGTGTAGCTCCTACGAGGAGTTCATTGAAGTCCACCGCATGCTCCTTGAGAGCTGGGAAGTTTCTCAGGACCTCCACCACTGGATTGATCTCACTTTTGGGTACAAGCTGCTGGGGAAGGATGCTGTCAAGGAGAAGAACGTCTGCCTCCATCTAGTAGACAACCACACGCACCTGACAACTTACGGGGTTGTGCAGCTCTTTGACCAGCCACATCCCAGGCGCATGGTGGGACCTGCCTACACACCTCCTGAAGCTCCAACCATTGCTCGGCCTCTTCTCCAGAACATCAGGGAGACTGTGTTTTTGGAGGATATCCAAGGCCAGGTGACGGATGCAGTGAATGGGCTGGTCCTGGAGGCCACTCCTAGTGAAACCACCTGGTCTGGGGACAAAGCCCTCGCTGGTGAGGATGATTTAGAGCAAGGCACAGAAGCCCTGGATTCGATTTCTGCTACCAGTAGAGCTGCTGACCAGCCCTCTGCCCCCGTGCCTGCAGCACAGCCCTCTGCCCTCCCTGCTTATGCCACTGAAGGCAAAGCCCCAGGGGTCCGACCTCTCCGTCGCAGCAAGGCAGGTGCTGTGGATCAGGCTGACAAGATCACGCTTCCTGAAGGCTTCAATCCCCTCCAGGCCTTGGAAGAACTGGAGAAACTGGACAATTTCTTGGTTAAAGGCTTAAGCAGTGAGATGCAGCTAATGGAGCAGCCGAGGGAAGAGCCACCCCTGGGTCTCTCAGACCTCTTCCAGAGGGACATGCAAGCTCTGGGCGTTCTGGTGGCTGAGATTATATTTGCCCCGAGGATTCGTCCTTCGAAGCCGGACGCGTCGCTCCGGGAGCGGTTCCTGATGGTCCGTAACCTCTGTCGCTACCATCCCAAGGAGATCCCAGCCCCGCTCCAGCACGTGCTGCACGTCCTCCTGCAGCTGAGTGTGCCAGTGGAGAAGCTTCTGAAGACCAGGCTGGGCAAGGGCACGGGCCAGTTGTTTGAATACCAACCCATCTCCCAGGGCCTCCCCCCACCCTGTCCCACCCAGCTCCTCAGTCCTTTCAGCTCCATTGTCCCCTTCCCCACATACTTCCCTGCCCTGCACAAGTTCATTTTCACCTACCAGGCAAAGAAGATTGAGGATGAGGGTCAGGGCCGGGAGCTTGTTTTCCAGCTGTGGCAGCAGCTGGAGGGGATCCTTTCCGAAATCACTCCTGAAGGCTTGGAGATTCTTCTGCCCTTCATCTTATCTCTGATGTCCGAGGAGAACACTGCTGTCTACGCAGCCTGGTATCTCTTTGAACCCATAGCTAAATCCCTGGGCCCAAAGAATGCCAATAAATACTTGCTCAAGCCGTTGATCGGGGCGTATGAGACCCCCTGCTCCCGCCACGGCAGGTTCTACCTCTACACCGACTGCTTTGTGGCCCAGCTGATTGTGCGCCTGGGGCTGCAGCCCTTCCTCCTGAACCTGCTGCCACACATCCTGCAGATCCTGGTGGGCATCGAGAGCTCGCGGGAGGAGAGCAAGTCCCTCCTTGGCACGGCTGAGGACGATGAGAGCGGAGGGGAGAGCCCGGTGTCCTGCGTCTTTGGGGAGGAGATCAAAATGGACGTGGAGCACAGCACCGCGGCGCTCGACCTCCTCGACTACACCTCTGGTGTCAGCTTCCATGACCAAGCCTACCTGCCTGAGGGTGAGGACTTCCAGAGTGGCCTCTACGTGGGGGAGTCCCTGCAGCCTCAGGAGCAGGAGTCACTGAGCCTGGGGCGGCTGAGCGACAAGAGCAGCGCCAGCGAGGTGTCCCTGGGGGAGGACAGACCTGCCGATGGTGATTCCCAGAAGGACAAGAGCAGCTTGAAGTCGATGGACAGCAGCCAGGACCTGAAACAGAGTGAGGACTCGGAGGAAGAGGAGGAGGAGCACGAGGAGGAGGAGCATGAGGAGGCTGTGGTTGATGCTGAGCTGCCAGTGGGCGCGGATGCTGGCACCTCCGTGGATGTCCCCCTGGCTGATGACAGCAGTGAGCCCGAGGATGGAGAGGGAGAAGAGCTGCCGGATCACTCTGATGACAAAGAGCAGACAATACTCCTGGGTAAGACCCTGTTGCCTTGAGCCTTCCTGCGGAGCATGGCAGCCACCCAGCACAGGCAAGAGTGGGAGAAGGGGAGAGCTTGGGAAGAAGTCAGTCCAGATTTGGGGGTGTCTGTGCTTCCAGCCTGGGGGCAGCGATGAAACCAGTGTAAGAGGCCAGGTCATGGGGCAGTGTGTGTGTGTCTGAGAGCCAGGAAGCTGCCTGTGGGGCAGCAGGTGGGTGATAGCTAATCTGCCCTGTGCCGGGCTCTGTCCTTGGGCCTGGTTTTGTTTTGCAGACACAGCCTGTAAGATGGTGAGGTGGCTCTCGGCCAAGCTGGGCCCCACTGTCACCTCCCGCTTCATTGCCAGGAACCTGCTCCGCCTGCTCACCTCCTGCTACGTCGGTAACGTCTGCTCCTCTGACCCCAGGCTGGGGTTTGGTTTGACTCGGGGCTCGGGTGTAGCCTGTTGCTTCAGCTCATGACGTTGTCTCTTGGGCAGGCCCCACCAGGCAGCAGTTCATACCAAGCAATGATGAGAACAGTCCCCTGAGTATGGGAAACATCTACCAGAAACGGCCAGTGTTGGGAGATCAGGTGTCCAAGCCAGTGCTGGCCTGTCTGGTGCACGTGGCATACCTGTATGGAGAGCCTGTCCTCACCTACCAGTACCTGCCCTACATCAGCTACCTGGTCAGTACTGCCTTTTCTCCTCCTCTTGTGTGTGTTGGGGTGAACCCCATGTCCAGGCCCTAAAGGAGAATGCACAGTAATAGTTCAGCCTCACCAGGAGCCTCCTGGGTAAACCTCTGTGCTAGGCTGAGCTCTGGGTCTGTGTGGGCTGAGCAGCTCTGGCTGTGCTGGCTGAGAAGGGCTGTGCTGATGCAGCCAGAAGAGGTACCTTCACCCCCTGCCCTGAGCTTCCAGTGAATGTGGCTGTGCACGTGGGCTTTTGGAGAACCACAGGCTGGGTTGGGTTGGAAGGAACCCTAAAGCTCATCTAGTTCCAACCCCCCTGCCATGCACAGGGATGCCTTCCAACCAAGCCCCATCCAACACTTCCAGGGATGGAGCATCCACACCTTCTCTGAGACCTGAGCCAGGGTCTCACCACCCTCACAGGGAAGATTTTCTTCCCTAAAATCTCATCTCAGTCTCTCCTCTTCCAGTTGGAAACCCTTCCCCCTCGTTAGCCCTTTAGAAAGCCTCAGCCACCATGGGTCTGCCTCCTTCCCTGCTTCCCTGGCCTTTCCTGGTCAGACCCATCCCTTGCCTACCAGAAGCCAGAGAAGAAAGGTTTTCTTACACATTGCCAAACAGAGCTGGCCCAAGGGTGGGGTTGTGATCAGGTGGAGCAGCTGGGGCTGCTTTGGGGTTGCGAGTGGTTTTAGAGGCCTGTGTGGGTAGATAAGGGGGTGAGCTGGGAAGGGGCTGCAGGAAATTCTTCAGCAGCCTGAAAACTGCTGGCAAAGGTTACAGACATTTCAACTTGAAGTCTGTAACTGAAGAGCAAGGAGGTGTGTGAGGTTGAAAGACAAATGGAGTTTTTGTGGAGAGAAAAAAGAAAAAAGGTTTTGAATCTGTTAAGCAGGCTTATTTTTTCATATTGTTCCTTTTTTTAGTGGTTATAAACACTTTGGTTACAGATTCCTGTTTAAATGGAAAACTTCAATAGCTTTTTGATAATTTAAACATAGGGCAAAAGAGGCCACATCTGCTCAGCTGAAGAAAACAAAAAGGCATTGTCAGTTTTTCCAGTGTTGAAGGGGAGATTTTTCAGGGGAAAAAAATCCCATTTTTCAGCAAAATCAGTCTCCACCCAGTTGCAATTGTAGCTCCAGCTGTTCTGCTTTGCTTTACTCAACTTACTGCTTGGAGGCACTGTGGGGATTAATACCCCTGTGATACACTTGGCAACCTGATAGTAAAGCAATGGGTCTCAAATAGGATAAAATCCTTGCAGGCTTTGGCAGAGTGGATATTCTGTGAGAGGAAGAGCCTCTGTGATGAGCTGGAAGATGGCAGGTAGACAAGAAATAGAGCAGGAACTGGGAATTGTCTGTGGGTTTTGCTGTTGGCTCAGTTTTTCTTGGGTGTTTGATTTGTCGAGGGTTTAGGAAATAGGAGTCTAGAAGGAAATCTTGCTGTGTTGCTGCTGATGTTGTTAACTCCTTGGCTTGGCTGTAACCAGCAGTGGGACCTTGTCAGCAAAAAAGAGATGTGCTCTGCTGCCTTGGGAAGGCATTAGCAGCTGGATTTCTCCAGGTCAGCAGCAGGTTTGCCCATAACTTGTGCTTGGATGTTGGATGGAAGGGCTGTTCCTCTGCAGTCTGTGCATCCAGGCACCGCAGGGCACGGGGTGAAGATGCTGATTCTTGATTTAAGTCGTGTGTGTGTTACAGGTTTTCCCTTCTTCCTGTGCTGGCAAGTGGGGCTCTGGCATATCCAGGCTGGTGATGGTCTGGGCCAGTGCAGGGTTGTCTCTCTC